CCCCACCCTCGCCTTATCGGCAGAAATTATTACTACGTTTCGGGCCGACCAACAGCAATGAGCAGATAGTGTTATCGGGTCGCCGGCGCATCGCGGCCGGCGGGCCCTGCCCTTCCGTTTTGTTGTGTTGGTCTTGTACTTACATGTGTTCCTCGTCCTCCTCCTGCTCCTCCGGGGCGGGGCGGGCGGGGCGCCTCAGCAGGAGCACGGGCGGAAGGGCCGCGATGCGTGGCGACGCCGGCCGACGCCCAGCGCCGTCCGTCGCCGTCCGTCCGTCCGTCCGCCGTCGGTGGATCGCAGACGAGCACGCGTGCGTCGCGGCGCCGCCGACGCCCAGATTCGCTGCTTATGGCTGCGATGCGACGCTTGGCGCCTCTCGCGGACACGTGGAGCGTACTAACGCACTGGCCAGGCCCGCCAGCTGGTCCGCTAGGGGATTGTCCCCCCCGCCCCCCGCCCCCCTCACCCGGGGTGCGCGGGCGCGGCGCGCTCTGGCGGGCTGACGCGACTGAGTCACCCTCCCCGTGGAGCCCCCCCGCGGCCGCGCGCTCTGTGTGTATCGCGTCTTCTCGTCACTCATCTTCTCCCGCTTCTGTTCCACAGCTCCGCGCCGAGAAGGACAAGTACGCCCAGATGAAGGACGCCCTCGAGAAGGAAAAGCACGAGGCGCTGCGCAGGGTGAGTTTTCCGTTTGTCCGTTGCGCAGGAAACGCGGGAAACAAACTTTCTGTTGCGTGGATTTATTCCAATTTTCGGAGTCGTCCGTGTGGTGACGCTTGTTTTTCCGCTCGTCTTTGCAGCTCAAGCAGCAGTCTCGGGAGGCGGAGGCGACGCGCCGCGGGCTGGAGCGCGCCCGCCAGGAGGTGGTGCGCCAGGTGAGCGCCATCGCGGCGGAGAAGGACTGCCTGGAGCGCGAGAACGAGAGCCTGCGGCAGCAGCTGGAGGGCCACCACCACCACCACTACTTCCCCGCGCCCGCGCAGCGCGCCGCCGCCGCCGTCGCCGCGGTGCCCGCCGACGGCCTGGAGCGCGAGATGTCGGAGCTCAAGCTGATGGCGCGCCAGAGCCAGTCGCTCAACAGCCAGCTCAAGAAGGGCATGAAGCACCTGGCCACCTGCAAGCGGAAGAAGTGCCACGTGTGCGCCTACACGCGCGAGTCGTTCGGGGAGTACGCCGGCAGGAACGAGTAAGTGACATGGAATGTGACATCCCCCCAATCGCCCTCTTTTCATAGCTTACTTTCAGCACGCACTTAGAAAATCCCAAGAGTGTGAATGTGACACACTTGTAGGTGTGTGGTGTGTGAATTAATGTTCGCACACTTCAACAAGTGAAGCTGTGAATTTTATTTTGCGTTTCGCACACTTCTACCCACAAGTTGTGTGAATTAAAATGCACCCCACGCCTCAAAAATGTGGCATTCGTACTCTTGGGTTTCCTGTGCCATTCGGCCCCTAACCGTTGGTGCTCGCCCGCAGCGGCAAGCTGTTCTCCTGCCTGCAGGCGCCGCTGCACGACTGGCGCACCAGGCGCCGCGGCGGCCAGGGCGCGTCCAGCACGCCGTCGCCCTACTGCTCGGACGAGGGCGAGCTGTTCGAGGACGACGCGGACGCGGAGGTGGACGCCGTGAGGACGGCGGCCGCGCGCCAAAGCCCCGGGCCGAGCCGGGCGAGCCAGGCCAGCCCGCTGCCCTCGTGCCGCTCCGAGTACTCGTTCCGCAGGGCCTACTCGTCCACGGCGCCCTCCTCGCCCTCGCCCTCCCCCTCGCACTCGCTGGCCCACCCCCTGCACTGCCTCGGCGCCCACATTTCCTACATCGACGAGGCCAGCTGTAGCTCGGGCGACTCCGGACAGGGTGAGTTACCCCCGGCCCAGGGACAAGCGCCTGCGAGCCGCGCCGGGCCACCCGGCCAGCACCGCTGCGCGCCGGGTTTGCCCACCTCGCCCCTGCCCTGGACGCCTTGGGCGGAAGGGGTGCCCGCAAGTGTTTCGCTGACATACCCGTGTTCCACAGGCGAGGACAGGTGTCCTGGAGCGTGCCACTGCCTGGTCGGGGTTGGGGCAGACCAGTCCATGGCCTCGTCGTGCTCAGCATCGGCCACGTCGACGCCGCACGGCCAGGGTCAGGGTGCCGCCAGCACCAGGGCCTTCTCCTCGGACTCGGGCTTCTCCAGCGAGCTGTACGAGTCGACGCTCCAGCGCTCCAGCGAGCGCTCCAGCGACCGCTCGAGCTCGTCCAGGTCTGCCGAACCGGAGCAGACGACGCCGTTCCAGCGCGGCGGCAAGTGGACTGCTTCCTTCCGCAAGCTGCTGACGAGGGTCTCGAGCAGGAAGGCGGGCGCCTCTTCCAGTGCGGCGGCAGCGCTAGCCTCCTCCTCGGCGACCGCAACAGCCAACTGAGCGAGCCGAGGACAGGGTTCACCTTGGGTCCTATTCGATGTTGCTGTCAGGTACTTTTGTCCTGACAACAACCGACGTTTACTACAACTAATGATCCACGTTGGACAAGGTTGAATTCTACGAGAAAAAGTAGTTGAAAATGCATTTATTTAGTTCACAACTAAAATTGTTCCTCTTTGACAGAACAATTAGTTCAGTGCATTTGGTTACATTGAAAGTCATCATGTGGGAAATAGTGCCAGCCATAATGGGTTTTAGTTTATTTTATTTGACAGCAAATATAAGAAAAGTATGGCAGAGTAGACCTCAAAATATAATTTCCTTGTTAATAATAATGTGCCAACTATTCCACTTGCCTAGATTTTTGGTCCTTTCAAAGTTGCCATTCATTTATTATCTTAGTTTGTTCATTGATTTAGGCTTATGACGCATACTGATGCCATTCTTGTTCTTGTGTTCAATCAACCTTGTTTTAGGAGAGTGTTCAAGCAAAAGCATTACTGTATACTTCCATAACTGATGGAAACTATGTAGCATATGGTGTTCAACCAAATATTCTTCTTGCTCAGGAAGAATGTTTGAACTCATACCACTGCACATTTCTCTTAAAGTGTTGAGGTACATAGACTGAGGGAGAGCTAGTGGCTCCACCTCAACCGAGTGCCCTTGAGTCTGGTTTAAAGAAAATTTTTGACAATCTCAAAACCATCATCATTATGACGCCAAGTCTAGAAATATAACCCTTGATCAGTTAAAGGATTCCAGAGTGCATAAAATAAGTCTTCCAATCAGAAATACAACATGCCAAGCAGAAGACCCTTGCCAGATGTACAGAGCAGAGACAAGAAACTGGTGGGCTGTCTCGCTTGCACTCAGAGCACACTGTATTTAGAAGGCTACCGTCTCTAGAAATGCAAATATACAATCAACCTTACCTGTAGATCAGAATTATGTGGTGATGAATCATTCACAGTGATGGATAAAGAAATTACTGGTTTCCAGGGCACTCTACTGTGGAGTTCTAGTGATAATTTTTAACTTTCCAATTATTCAACCAAAGCAGTATTTACTTTATGAGACAGGTACAGTATGAAATAATATTGTATCACACAACACTCAAGTAGTCTGCAGCTCTATATGTTGCAGTTCTTAAACAACCCTTATTTTAAATGTTTATGCACTAGAAATCTATGACTTAAGGGCAGATTTGTACAATCATAAAGTTTGCTCACAGTAACCTTCTGTTGACAAATGATATGCTCTTAGTTTAGTATCATTACAATTTGCTACCCAATATCTGAGCATTATCATGCATGCATAATTTTATTTGTTTGTTTTTTAATTTTTCTGTATTATTATTTTTTAGAAAAATGTTCATTTTATTTACACTATATCAGACTGTGATAACCTCTGTCTCTTCCTCAAATTGTCTTATTGGGGTAATAGGAAGAACACAGATTGACGCAAGGTGAAAGAAAAATGAAGATTTTTTTCTATGAAAGTAATATTTGGTTTCTTGGTATAAAATCTAATTTTGTAAGAGCTTTTTACATAAGCAAAGTATTTCATCCTTAAGGTTTCCTTTTTTTTAACAAAACATATTTTTGTTCTTTTCTTTCTGTTAATTAAGTTTGTAGTTGCTATGGTAAAGCAAGATACTTTACAATTGAGCCTATGCTGAACATCTTATTGTGGTATAAAAAATTTGCCTAAGGAATAATCAGTAATAATTATTGTAAGAGGGCTTGCTTCATCTGTTTGTTATAAATGGGACCATGACATTGATCATTCAGTGGCATATAATTTGAGAGTGATATCAATGATGATATCAATGAGTGATATCAGTGAAATCAAATGAATTCCAAAATATAATTGTTTTGTTTGGTTTGAATGCTTAATCAATTAAGCCCAAGACTGATATTGTTGCTATTGTTGTTCCTGATTGAGCAGCTGGTCTGTCACACAGCCGACTCAAACTTTGAATAAGCTAACAATCTAGGGTTTTCTATTCTGAAATAAGCTGCTTAACATTATTATCAATCATTGTTGTTGATTACATTCATACTAAACTCAACAGAAGGTATAGAACTGAGAAAAGATCTCTCATTTATTTTAGTATGCATGCGTATTGTATTCTAACAGTATACAGCTCTCTTACTTCTTGGATTGTTTGCAGGAACTATTAGATATCAAGACAAATCTTGGCAGAAGGTTTGCGGTAGCATTGTCGCAAATTTATTATTTAACATCTGAATATTTAAGTATTCTGTTCAATTTGCTGTATTCAGTATCTTTAAAAATAAGAGGTCAGTTGTCAAGGCAGGAATAAGCAACCATTCATTAGTTTCTTTACGTCATATCTACAGCTCTGTGATTTGTTAAGTTTCCTTTTAGCCTGGTAGTTTGCCAAGTACAAACATTGTAGCATGTCCAATAATTCAAATATAGATCAATTACTCTTTTTTTTTTCAGTAATTTGCCGTAAATGTTCCTGAATAGTTTAGTTTCAACTCTAAAGCATTCAGTCTATACTGCTTGTTTATTTTTCCAGGATTTCATAGAACTTTAATGTATTTTTGCTTGATCAGTTGTTCTTCCTTCTTTTTAATAATTAAAATGCATCATTGAATTTGAACTAGAATTTCTATAAGAAATTAAACATCCTTCTAATCAACATTCTTGAAACTCTGGCTTTCTCAACTGGTTGAGAAATTCAGAGTTTTCTGTTTCCAAGTTTGGTCAAACCAAACTTTTTTAATGTTTTGCCTCACAATTCTAGTTGACTGTTCATTTTGTGTAGTTCACAGAATTTTGAGATAAGTAACAGAGGTGTTATCATTAGGCAGATTCATTTCACTCTTCAATGATGACTTAGTTATTAAACTAGTTGAGTGCGTTTGTTCATATTGTGATTATTTCAATGAGTGCAAAGTGTGCAGAAATATGCTCATGTTTGGAGAGATTGTGCCTCCCAATTTGATTGCATATATTGTACTTATGAAAAATAAATTATAATTTAGCTAATAAAAATGTGTGACTCCGTCTGCTTGTTCTTAATTTATCAATCATTACTCGTTACTTTACACCATTAAACTAATTCGATGCAAAACATATCAAGAGGAGCAGAATATGGCCACACTTACATACTAAACGCTGGTTTCTCTACTCAGCCTCCTAAATGCTTTCTCCAAAACTCCTCTCTCCTCCATCTTCCTCCACTGGTCTTGAGAGAAGTACTGCCTCAGCCGGTCCGTCACCTCCACTCGCGGCGCCGGCTGCCTCGCCGACCCCCGGCCGGGCCCACGGCCCCCCTCCAGCCCGTCGAGACGCACGGCGCTGGAGAGGGAGGCGTCGTCCTCGTCCTCGTCCATGCCGTTCTCGAGGAAGCCGTCGTCCTCCTCGACGTCGCCAGGGAGGTCGTCCGGGCGCCGGGAGACACGCGGTGACTGCGAGGTGGGCACGACGTTGAGGCGGGTCAGGGCGTCCCAGGAGCGAGGCGAGAAGCAGCCCCTGGCGGCCGCCAGGCTGGACGGGTCTGGTGAGGTGGCCGTCGACGCACTCTCGGAGGAGGACGTGGACGACGACGACCCCGTCGAAGGCCGGCCGCGCAGGCATCCCAGCCTCTGGAGCTTCTCCCACGCGACGGGATCGAAGTACTTCTGCACCGAGGACGAGGGCACCGAGTTGAGATGCATGCCGGACACCTTCTTCCACGTGTCCGGTGAGAAGTACTTTTGCACGTCCTCTAGCGACGTGTCGAGGTAGTGTGCATCTTCGGCTGCCTCCCGCGCCTTGCGGAAGCTCTTGTTCCGGCCCGGGCCAGCGGGTGGTCGTTGACTGGAGTCCGCCATGGCTAGCTTCGCGTCACCGCCGTGACCACTGGCTGCTCTGGCGGGCTAGGCTACGCGAATGCCCATGGCGTTGGCGAGGACCGCCGCGCCGCGCTCGCCGGTGGACAGCGGACAGTTTATCGCTGGGATGGACGTCACCGTACCGAAAGTCTTACGTTCGCGTTAAAGGACCGTCAGCACGACGACTATCAGCGGAGCCCGCCGCGGCCGGCCGGTGGCTTTCCCTGTTGGTGTCGACAGCAGCAGCGCGTCGCGCGGGGCGAGCGAGCTGCACGACGATAGCGATACAGTGACACTGCGCCACCAGAAGTGAGACCAGGCGCGCAGTTCCTGACCTCAGAGCTGGTCCACGGGCTATTCCCAGGGCGGCGCCCCCACCCCCCGACGCCCCACTCGGCACCCGCGAGCCACCCTTGGCCGACAGCCGACGCATTTAGTTCGGCCCACATCCGCGAATACTTGTGCGCAGGGGTCACGTCACGACACTGCTGCGATGACTCGGCGGAGAGGGGGGGGGGGGGGGCCCCCCGGGGGGGGGGTCCGTAAGAACACGCGGCAGCTCGATGGGTTGCCTACGCACTAGCGTGCAGGCGCGGAGGGCGCGGGCGGAGTGGTGGAGGTGCGCACCATCCAGCGCATTCCGAACAGACTATAGACCAAACTATTTTTCAAAGAATGTGAAAAAGAGGGAGTACCCACCCCGCTTTTACACGGGGCCCCGCGTGCTTAACTTCGGAGTTCGGATGGGATCCGGTGTGTCCACGCCATCAGCCAGACTGTTAGATCCGACCAACTGTTGACTAGGGTTGTCGCCTACCCGCTTAAACAGGAACGACGGGTACCCATGGGAGTACTTTCCTCATCCCACCGCAGTAGTTAGCGAACTGTGGTCTCTGTTCCGAACAGCCGCTTCCAACCGCAGTGGTCAGAACATACTCCCGGGGTTTGTGAGACGGTTGAGGCGTACGTTGGTTAAACTGTACTGACCCACCACAGGTCGCTAGATTGCCATACCCACCTCACTTTACACAGCCTACCCCCACCACGCCTGCCGGCCCATGCGCGAGCCCGATGCGCGGCGGCTGCAGGTTGCAGCTCGCAGCTCAGCTCCAAGTCTGGTGGTGGCTGATCAGCGCAGAGGCGGCTTCAAATTTAATTTTCTGAATTTGTTCGGGATTTTTGTGGAACATGCTTAATTGCAGAGGATATTCCAAGGTAGAAAGTCCAGTAGTGAATCAAGTTTGATCGTTGTCAATTCACTTAAATATCAATTTAGATAGATCAAGTTCATTGTGCGATTCTGGTATCTTGTTCACCTCTTGAAAAGTAAACCGTATTATAACCCTTTCAGCAGTTATCTACTAGCGCAAAATACTGAGGGATGAGAGACGTAATGAGAATAATACATTAATTTATTTTCTTATCTACTAATCATCTAGTTGTTGAAAGGGTTCAATTCTTTATGCGGAGATGGTACGTATGTTTTATTGTAGATATT